TTTCGAACAGTTCGTTTGTTCAGCTCAGAAAAACATTTTCACATTTGGAATTCAGTTTCAGTCGTTCGAGTGGATAGCCGAATTTATTCAAAGAAGCATTTGAGTTGATGGTAGCGATCGATGACGACGATAAAAAAACAAACGATCAATAGGTGTGATGGAAATGAATCACAATCTCGCTCAGACTGTTAAATCAGAATCATTTTTAGAGAACTTTTTCTCAAATGCAATTTCTATCATCATAATGAACACAATGAATCATACAAGTGATCAGCGCTGCAACTGATCAATATTAAAAATATTCTGCAAAACGAACAAATCAGAAAGAAAAGAACATATTTCCAAAGATCAAAAATCAAAAGGAAAAATCATTGAATCAATGAATAACAAAATTGGATAAACCGAACATTAATTTTAACTTCTAATATTCAGCTCATTAACAGACACAATAACTTTTTTCTATCCAATTTAGTAAACGATCGACTGATCATAGCTGAAAACGAATTCTCTAACTGCACTAGTGACCGACCTGTTTTGCTGATGATGACGAGGATGGATTGTAGAATCCCGCTAAGGCATCATATTTCTTTTCAGGGACGGCAGCATCTCCATCAGTTCCATTTTGATGCTCATCATCACCTGATTTTACAGCTTCTGAATCAGGCGCTCTTGTATCGGCCGTCTTTTTACAGTCATAATTGAGTTTATCTTTACCACATGTCTGCAATTTGAGCTCATTTAGCAATAACAATAATATCTATAATTATGCCCACATTTGCGCTTCGTTGTCTTACACAACTGAAAAATTACGAACAGCTCGTTTGTTCAGCTCAAAAAACATTTCCCACATTTGCAAATTGGTTTTAGTCGTTCGAGTGGACAGCCAAATTTATTCGAAGATGCACTGGAGCTGATGGTAGTAATCGATGACAAAGATGATAAAACGAACGATTCGATGGGGTGAGATAGAAATGAATCATAATCTCTCTCAGACTGTTAGATCAGAATCCTTTTTAGAGGATCTTTTCTCAATTCGTTTCTTGAAATAAAACCGTAAATGGAGATGCAATGGTGGAGCAGATTAACCTGAACATGTAGATCGTGAGTGAGAGCCAACACTTTTAAATCGACAACCGACAGAGATGCATAATCACCGGTCTTTTTCGAGCAATCACACACTGAAACAGACGAAAATATTAGCAAAAATATTTCCAAAATTAAAAACATTCATTAAATCAATCGAATGATCAATATAAATCATAACTAAATGACTCAAGCACTTATCTATATTATTTATCATAAAATGAACTTGATACAAAAGAAAATTTTTAAAATAGACGAACCAATTTGAAGAGATTCTTTCGATGGCTCTCGAATAACAATTTCATAAGGAATAGTCTCGAGAAGATGCTTTGACTTTTCACACTTCAACTCATCCAGCACCTCTTGTACCGTATAAATAACAGCACCGAGATCCTGAAATCCAATTACGGTTCTGAATAAATTCCTATGGAATCAAAACCGAAAAAAACTTGGTGGCACTGAACTGATGGACGAAAAAATATTCAGGTGTTCTAGGTGCATTGATTT